ACTCTAAAGGAGTATTTAAAGAGGACACTTGAGCTGCGAGGCTCCGAGAAACAGCTATTTATAAGCTATCAGAAACCTTATAAAAAAGTTAGTAAAGACACTATTAGTCGATGGACAAAAGATGTCATGGAAAAAGCTGGGATTGACACATCCATGTTCAAACCACACAGTACCCGAGCTGCGAGTACAYCTGCAGCAAACAGATTATCAGCAAGTCTTGATGACATACTAAAGACGGCAGGATGGTCGTCAGAATCAACCTTTGCGAAGTTTTATAATAAGCCAATTGTTACTTCTAAGGACAGTAACTTTGCTGACAGGGTGCTAAAGTCTGTAATACCAGATTAAGACTAAAGTCACGTGACAATGTTTATTGTTCTATAATAAAATGTTTGCTTTGCAACTTGTTTAATGTTCGTGTTGCTGCAAAATCTCATGTGATCTCGAAGCACGATAACAAGGTAGAATAAGAAAATTAAACGAGACTTACCTGGAAGTTGAAGTTTGATTGATATTCTACCGAGTTATAGAGTGCTGAGAGATTACATGCCCTGCCCAACCACCAATGTTGGGTTGGGAAAATATATCACTCACATTAAACCTTTGAAGACTGAGTTGGCGCATGCGCTTGCATTCTCATGTAATCTCTCAGCACTCTAAAACTCGGTAGAATATCAATCAAACTTCAACTTCCAGGTAAGTCTCGTTTAGTTTTCTTATTTTATTTTATATATATATGTATATATATTTTTGCAAACATTATGAGAATTGTCGAAATATCTAAATATCATAATATCAATTGCATGATGGGTAATCCAACGCGATTCCCGTTTGTCCTTTGTCTTTGTAGTTTAGTTTTTTTTTCGGCGGTGACGGACTTATCCGTAGTTCTGAACATTTTCTCGATGTCAACAATGAATTATTCTAGCAAACCCGCGTGTTCTGGACAATATATGGATATGGATATTAAGATATTTAGACAATTCTCATAATTTTTGCAAAAGGCTGTATGTATTTTTAACAGTATTATATAGTTATATAGTTTTAGTATGCCATGAAACGTACGCCCGCTCAAAGAAAACTCGAGTCAAAGCTAAATGCCTTCATAAGCCTCAAGCTCCTCGTCGGATGAAGAACAAGAAGAAAAGAAAACAAAGAAAAAGACAGCTACAGAAGTAGCTAGAGAAGCCCAGGAGGCTCACACTACTATGTGCCGCAAAGTAATGGAAACTCTAGAAAAAGTAGGCAGCTTGCTCACGAAAGTTGAGAGTCAAATTGATAAATCAGCTAAGCCTTGACGCTAAAGCTCAGTTTATTTGGTAGCACATAAGCGAAAATCCTTGTTACCATTATTATATCTAAAACTGATTTGATAAATTGAATAAATTGAAGAAAAAAGCACGCAACTTGCAACTATTATTCCTACTCTTTATTTGTTTTTAACTATTATTCCTACTCTTTATTTTAACGTTTCGGCACTTCGGCCTTCTTCAAAAAAGACTGAGTGTTTTGCACGCGCCATTGCTACAAAAACCAACGCAACTAACGGAAAACAACAATATGCGCGCGCTCTACAGCGCGCGTAGCCAAAAAACACGCGCACTAAAATGCACGTGGGCTAGGACTTAAATACTAAACTACAAAACCTAAGAAAGCAGTAGCTAATACAAAGCACTCAGCTAGCCAAACCAGAAATTACATCAAACAAACCCAAGCCAGATAAACAACACCAATGTAGGAATTACTAAATCTAATACGAATAAATAATTAATACAAATAAAGGAAGGACATGAAAGCTACTGCCCCTGCAAGCAACCTTCAAAACTCCATCCACCTAACAATTATATTATATCAGCTGAAAGTACCACACAAACAAAATAAATAAA